TGTCACGGACTCATCAAAATACTCCAAGAATTTACATTCAACTAAGCCACAAAATACTTGTACTGACATAAGATAAAAACCTGATTATTCCTGTAATCCAGCACCCTGGGAGGCTGAGAAACAAGGCCAGCTGGAGGAATGTAGCCAGATTCCATCTCAAAAAAAATAAAAAGGGCTGAGGATGTAGCTCAGGGTGCAAAGGCCTTAAATTCAATCCACAGTATCAGAAAACAAAACAAAACAAAAACAAACAAACAAAAAAACCAAAAAACCCCCAGCAGGGCCAACCAAATAGCTCAGTGGGTTAAGGGGGTTCGATCCCTGAATCTGTTGGCCCCAAGATGGCAATTGAGAGTGGGAGTGGTGGCATATGCCTGTAATCCCAGCTTTTGGGAGGCTATAAACAGGGGGATCACTGAGTCTGATCTAGTAGTGAGACCCTGAACACCCTTCCCTAAAATACAAAAAACAGCAAAAACAGCTGCCTTTTTACTGCTGTCAGACACCATCAGTGCAAATTTTCTTTGCTAAAAATCACAGATATCTATGCTACATCAATGTAATCTGACACATAATGACTTAGTGTCACAGGTGAACTTGGGTTAAGTATTTAACCCAACTGAACCACCTGCTTTGTTACCTTAAAAATTTATGACTGCTCTCTGAGATGATAAAAATGATCTACAGTGAGAGGTTGTGCATGTAGCTCAGCAGTACAGTTTGCCTGGCTAGCTAGCACTATCCCTGGTGCTGCAAAACAGGATCAAAAAGCAGGTGTAGTTGTGTGCACCCACAATCCCAGAATTTGGGAGGCTGAGGCAGGATTGCTTTGAGTTCAGCCAAGAGAGGTCAAGGCCAGCCTAAAATGCATAGTGAACATCTGTTTCAAAAATAAAAAATTAAGACCAAAAGAACATATATGCTAAATTTTACTTTTTGGAGTTGATCTCACTATGTAGTTCAGACTAGCCTTGTGTTCAATATATAGCCCATGCCAGCCTCAAACTTCTGGCAATCATCCTGCCTCAGCCTCCGGAGTGTTGGGATTATAGGCATGTGCCAACACACCTGGCTAAATTTAACTATTTTACAAATAAATTTTGTGCTCATTTAAGCTTTTGAGATTAATCCCAGGACTTCAAAATCACAAATGGTTTTACTAACTTGACTTAACATCAGTAACTAACACTTGATAGTAAGAACAAAGTAAACCTGACAGTGTGTTCAAAACTAACAATATATTAAAAAAAAACCCTAACAATATGAGCTGCAATATAGTAGTCTTGATCCCACTCTATTAAATACATTTAAATTATGTTAACAGAAACACTAAGGATGAAAATGACACAAGTCTGGCTTAACTCTTTTCACATGGTTTTATCAATAATGCTGTAAAAATGGGGCCGCGGAGATGGCTCAGCAGAATAAGCACTTCCCTGACAAGTGCAAGGGCCTGAATTCAATCCCCAGTTCCAAAAAAAAAAAAAAAAAAAAAGCTGTAAAAATCCCCATTTGTATGTTGCATGGCCCTAAATTGCTTTCCCCAAGTTCAGGGCCACCACTGCTTCCTCACTCAGTATCGTTGGCCCAAATGCTTTCAAACCAAAATGGAGCTTTTGCTCTCTGAATGTAGTTATGTTCCAATTAAGTTAGTCTGATGTCTCAACACAGCACGGAAACACCATTTTTGTCTAAATTGCTAAAATGACCCAACTACAGGCCCCAGTAGCCTAATGTAATTTCTTTATTTATTTTTTTTTTTATTTGGCAGAACCAGGTATTGAACTCAGGCCCTTGCGCTTGCCAGGCAAGTGTTTATTCTACTGAGCCATCACCCTGGTCCCCAGAAACACCATTTTTGTATGAATTACAGATATAGCACGAGGCAGGATGCATTCTGCATTGCTTGCATTTCTGGCCAGAAATATGAGGAACACAGTACACTTCACAATTTGGAGAATTCTGTTGTTACCCTTCTTCAGGCATTTGCTTACTCCCTGACTTGATTACCTGAAAGGTTTTAATACCTAAATAAGGGGTTGGGGAATAAAGTTCAGCTGCACAAGTGCCTGCCTGGCAAGCATAAGGTCTTGAGTTCCAATCCAGTAACCCCCCCCCAAGTATCTACAATGAATGAGATACTAATGACAAATGATTTATCCATACTCTTAAAAAATGAAAGTTATGTTCTTGATTCATTTTATAAAGAAATAAGATCTGATAATAAATGACTTAGTCATGCAAGCTACTATAATGTTCAAATCAGGATTTCCAATCTAGCTCTTATATCCTCTGCAGAGGTTAAGGCTATATGATAAAGGACACAAAAATGCTCTTAGAAGAATACACCAATTCACTCCTTACTTTAAAAATACTGCATAAGGGGCTGATGAGATGGCTCAGTGGTCTAAAGCACCTACTTAGAACAAGCTTAGCAAAGCACAGGGACCACGGTTCAATCCCCAGCACCACATGCCAGCCAGCCCCGCCCCCTGGTGGGCTGAGCTGGCCACACACACACACACAAATAAAAAATTAAAAAAAAAAAAAAAATCTGCACAAGCAATCTTCTGGCAAACCAAAGTAAAATTTTAAAAAATCCAGTCATACTGCATACTTGGAATTGATCCAAAGTATACCCTCACACAGCTTTCTTAAATTATTGTCTGAGTCAGAATTTAGGAATACCACCACCCAGAAAATCTTGCAACTGAATTTCACTAGTTAATCTCATTTGTAATTATGGAGCCACTCCAGCCAATCACTGCATCTTCCTAATTAACAAAACCCTACTAATAACCTGAATTCTGGTGGCCATAACTCTCATTTTATATTATCCCTACGTGACAATGCTGCGCAGCTCACCGGACCCTCTTGGTGGCACTCCCGTACTGCACCAGCCTCTGACACTGCAGAGGTGGAGCTCCCTTAAGTGACAACAGGGAAAGCTGTTCCCTAGGGTGGCCAGGGTGCCTTGGCATCGGTCTTCTGGCTCTCCACCTACTGTCAGTGAGAAAACTAGGAAAAGGAAAGAAGCCAGCAAGAGTTTTTGTTTTATTTTTGAATTATTCACTCTTGCAGTTAAACAGCAAAATTTCTAAGGCTCAGCATTCTGCCTATAAGCCAGACATTGCAATTAGCCCAATAGTGGTTCCATAGCTTGTAAGCACTAATCTGCTATAGGAAAAGAACAATCCAACCATAAATCACAACCACAAAATTAACTCCTAACTTAAAAATCACTTTATTTCAAGTACTCAAATGTCAGTGCCCCTTAAGCTGACACCGATTTGGCTCATAATTTTTTTTTTTTTCTTGAAACAGGGTCTCATCAGGTAAGAGTTCAGACGGGCCTTGAACTCATCATGTATGTAGCCCAGGCTGGCCTACACTACCAGCCCTAGCCAGGCCCATAGTACTTTAGAGACTGCAGATCTGTTGAAATCAATCACTTCTCTCATCAAATTAAAAAGGAATGTGAATTTTTGATTCCCAAGAAATTTTTCTAATATGATGTATATAATAAATACACCAAAATATTTTTAGCTCCTGTTTAAAAACTGGTTACCAAGAGTTGAACTTGGGAAAAATTTTTAAGTCCTTTACTTATCCTGGTAAATCTAATGATTCCTTTTATATTCTAGTACACAAAGAGGTCCTTGAAGGCAAGTCAGCTAAAAACACATACCTAGGGCTGGCATTTTGTCTGATAAGCCTTCATTAGGGTAATTCCTTAGACGTTTCATAAACAGTTCAGGAAATAAGGTCTACATCTCATAAATCTTTTCAAAATCTTCAAAGATTTGATGCGAGTATTAACTGGTTGCTTCTCTCCAAAATGGAGTCAGACAACAGGAAAGTGAAAAAATTGTTTAAAACTTAATTTAGGAACAAGGGGCCGGGGATATAGCTCAGCGGCATAAACGCCTGCCTGGCAAGCGCAAGGTCCCAAGTTTGATCCGCAGTACCACACACACACACACACACACACACACCCGTAATTTGGGAATATGAGGGAAATGAAATCAATCATTCTTTACTTTTAATAAGACAAAAAGCCTCAACCCTTGGCTTCTTCTATCTTATCTCTAAGGGCTCTTATGAATGACGCACACTAAGTCTCAGAGAATTACCGAGCAAATTGTCTAAGATCTCCTAGTCTAACATGCGGTCACTTCCTTTCAAAATGCCCTCTGGCTGAGACCATGTGCTTAACATGTGGCAACAAGGAACAAGCCTTGTCCATAACAAAACCAGCACCCAAACCAAACTGTGGGCGACCATGCCTTCCTAAAATAGGTTTTCACGTATAGACAACCTAAAAGGAAACTTAATAGTCTTAATTGTAATTTGCACCGGTTTAAGCCAAGAAATGATGGCAAAGACTACTACCGAAACCGTCTTGGAGCCCTGGCAAATTCATGTCTTTTTTCTGGGAAGCGTTTGTTTTTCTTAAACATGGCCTCTGGAACTTAAATCTTGATTTAGCGAAAAGTTCTTACCAACCCTTCTACATGACAAGTGTAAAACAACAGCTTCAACCTGTGTGGAAAATATATAATGATAGGGACGCTGCCCGGCAGGGAGAACACATTCCCCAGATGCCCAGGTCTCGCTACGAGGGTCCGGGGTGCCGAGGTCTGCGTCCTGCCCCGCGCATGGCCCACCCATCCCCCATCGCCTGCCCGTCGGTTCCCGCCAAGGGGCCCCAGCCCCGCACCCGTGAGAGGAGCGCGGGCCTCGGCCTAGAGTGCCCGGCCCAGCCTCCTTCGCCGAGCGCGCGGTCCGGAGTAAGGCCTGGGCGGGGGAGGCTGAAGCGCAACACCAAGCTCCTGGACCCAGGAAGGGCACTGGGGTCGTGGGCGGCGGTGGACCGGAAGCCGGGCCCGAGGCGGCGGCCGAGCTCCCTTCCTGACGCAGCAGCAGCAGCGCAGGCCAAAGTGCGGCCGCCATCGCCCCACTCCCGACCCCTTCCGTCCGCCTCCGCTCGGGGACCGTACCGCAGCTTCTCCACACCGGCCCACACGTTCTCCCTCACCTTCGGCCTCTGAGAGGACCCGCAGCGGCGGAGAGTCAGACACAGGCCCAGAGAAGGAAGCTCGCGAGGGAACGGCTGTTTATTTTCAGAGTCCTTGCCTGCGCCACACGCGGGTCTGCACACGGCCCCACACACGTCGCTGCGCACGGCTCCTCTCCGCCTCGCCCACGCGGCCAATCAGCGTGCAGAGCTCCAACCATCCAATCAGATCCGCCCGCCGGGACGTCCGCTCCGCACGAGCGTGACGTAAGGCGAGGCGGGGCGGGGCCGACGTCTGGATCCACGCGCCGCGCTTTTCCGGTGCATCCCAGGGCTCGGCCTTTTAGCTTGCTGTCTTGCTCCTCGCCCATCTTGTGGAATCGGGAAGTTGGAGTCGGGTGCTTGTTCTGGGCAGCTGCGGCCAGGGAGACCAGGCCACGGCCAGAGAACTTGGCAGTGAGGAAAGACCTTGCTCTCACCACCAGGGCTAAATAAAAGCTCGTGGTGAGCCAGGCGCGGTAGCCCTCGCTCGTAATCACAGCACTCAAAATGCTGAGGCAGGAAGATCTCAAATGCCAGGCCGGCCTTAGCTATACAGTGAAGAGTCCAAAATAAGGTAGAAAGGAGGGGTCGGGGAGATAGCTTAGTAGAATAAGCGCTTGCCTGGCAAGTGCAAGGGCCTGAGTTAAACAAACAAACAAACAAACAAAAAACCCAATAAGGTAGAAAGGGATGGAGATGAAGCGCAAGGTGAAAGCCCAGGGTTCTGTATCTAATACTGGGGGAGGGTCAGTGATGAGATTGTGTCACAACTCTCCTTGTGACCCACTTAGCACAGCAGGTGTGGTAGACCCTAGGATTTAGGGAAAGAACAAGCCAGGAGAGTTGATCTATATATAGCAAGTTGTGGTTTCAGTAAACAACAACCAGTAATCCCAGCACTCGGGAGGCTGAGGCAGGAGGATCTCTGTGAGTTTGAGACCAGCTTAGGCTGCAAAGTGAACTCAAGGCCAGTCTGAACTGCATAGTGAGACTGTCTCAAAGACAAATAAATGAAATTGTACAGTCATAAAAATAGCTCTTGTCTCAGATGAAACCAAGAGGCTTTCTTCGGCTAAATTATTCACTCCAGGTGTGGTGCCTCACCTCTGTAATCCCAGCCCCCTGGAGAGCTGACTCAGGTAGATATGTTGAGCCCAGTTTAAGCCATTTAGTGACTTAGCAAGGCGTTGTCTCAAAAATTTCAAAAAATGGGCTGAGAATGTAGATCAATGGAAAGGCCCTGAGCCAAAGCTTTTTTTTTTTTTTTTTTTTTTCCTACCAGGAATAAAACTAAGGACCTTGTGCTTGCCAAGCAGGCACTGTGTTGCTGAGCTATATATATCTCTAGTCCCTAGTACAAAGGTCCTAGGAACAATTGCAGTAGTGCAGTACAAAAATAGTTCTCCCCCAGTGTGGTATCACAAGCATGTAATCCCAGTGCTCAAGAGGCTGAGGCAGGAGAATCACCATGAGTTGGAGGCCAGCCTGATCTACATAGCAAATTCTGGTTTCAATAAACAACAACAGGGCTGGGGAGATGGCTCAGTAGAATCACTTGCCTGGCAAGCACAAGGGTCTGAGTTCAATCCCCGGTTCCGCAAACAAATAAAAAAATAAAATGAACAACAACAAAAAGTTCAAAATTGTCCCTGGAATACACATTTCTGTTTGCTTGAGCGCAACTGGGGATTGAACTCAGGCCCTTGTGCTTGCCAGGGAAGTGCTTATTCTACTGAGCCATCACTGAGTACCCTGGTATAAACATTTCTAGCTAAATGAACAAACCTTGATACCATACTTTTTTTATTTTTTGCTAAGAATTGAACTCAGGACCTCATGCTTGCCAGGCAGGTGCTATGCCATTGAGGTATATCCTTGGCTGAAGACCGTATTCTTAAGTGAAATAAATTGGAGGCACATGTTTAAATACCACCTTGTGGGGCTGGGGAGATGGCTCAGTGGAATAAGCGCTTCTCTGGCAAGTGTAAGGGCCTGAGTTCAATCCCTGGTTCCGGAAAAATAAATAAATAAATACCATCTTGTTTTTCTGGTTTGAAAAACTAAAAGTGTAAACACAGACTAAAATATATAACAGATATTGGAAAATGTGAAGGAAATGTTTAAATGAGGAGAGGGGCCAGGGAGATGGCTCAGTAGAATAAGCGTTTCCCTGGCAAGTGGAAGGACCTGAGTTCAATCCCCAGTTCTGAAAAAAAAAAAAAAAATCAACAAATGAGAACAAGAAGGGGGGAAGGGAAAAAAGAAAGGGACAAAAAGAATAGAAGGGGAAAAAAAATAGAAATAGCTTTTGTAAGGGAGAGGAGTCAAAGGGGAGGGGAATAAAAGAAGCAAGATTTATCATGGATGAGTACAAATTCCCTGTAATGAATGCTAGATAGATAAGATATAGATATACTAATACAATTTTTAAATGCAAAAACAGCCCTAGGTTGACCCAGCACCACGCTTGTGAACTATTCAATATGAGCTAGCACACTTAACTTTTTTTGGTATTTTTAGAGAAGGGTCTACAGGGTGTTCTGGGCCTCACTACTAGGTCAGACTCTTAGTGATTCTCCTGTTTATAGCCTCCCAAGTGTTGGGATTACAGGTGTGTGGCACCACGCCCAGTCTCAATTGCTGTCTCAGCATGCCCTGGGGCGGGCCGGCATGGCAAGCCCAGGGATCAAACCCCTGGCCCCTGCGCCTTTGTGCAGGTGCTTTAATTCACTGAACTATTTGGCTCACTGTAACATTTTGTGTGTCCAATTTGAAATGGCTTTCTTAGAAGCATGGAGGTAAAAAGAAAACCCTTCTCTCCTGAGCTCCAAAAGGTCCTGAAATCACTATGATCTCATGCTAAATATGTTCTTGTAGATTAGTACCCATTTTCTGTTGTGCTGGGTATGTCTCAGAACTGGATTCTCATTCCTTTAATGACTTTTTTTTTTAAGTTAAGTGCACAAATGGAAGTTAAAACTGTGAAGAACAGTCCTTGTTTGTAGAATACATTTGTTTGGTGATGGTGTGGAAAGGCTGTCTCTTGCTCCTGTGCCAACTCAGCCATCCTTCCCAGTTCCAAACCTGTAAGTATCTTCAAGCACAACTATTAAGACTCAGCCTGAACCCACCTGCAGATCACTGGTACTTAGTCACTGGAGGGTGTTTAGCCTGTGACTCTCAGCTCAGTGTCCAAATAGCAGTGATTATAGTGAATATCTTTTTTTTTTTTTTCTTTTGAGGCAGAATCTCAATCTTTGGTGCAGGCTGACATCTAACTTTTGGTAATCTTCCTGCCTCAGTCTCCTGAGTGCAGGGATTACAGGTATGCACCACCATGCCCTCTGAATGTCTAAGAACCAGTGACATTTGAAACTTTTTATTTTTTTTAATTTTTATTTATTTATTTATTTATTTTTTTAAATTTTTGTTTATTTAGTGTGTGTGTGGCCAGCTCAGCCCACCAGGGGGCGGGGCTGGCTGGCATGTGGTGCTGGGGGATTGAACCGCGGTCCCTGTGCTTTGCTTAGCTTGTTCTAAGTAGGTGCTTTAGACCACTGAGCCATCTCACCAGCCCCCATTTGAAACTTTTTAAACCAAAACAACATAAAGGGCAAATGTTTAAAACTCATTACAGGGCCGGAGAGATGGCTCAGTAGAATAAACTTCCCAGGCAAGCACAAGGACCTGAGTTCAATCCCTGGTTCCGGGGGAAAAAAAAAAAAAACAAAAATACCAAACTCATTACAAAAAGGCATCTCCAATCAGGTTGAATAAATGCTTTACCTCACCACATATGTATTAAGCTGTAGCACTAGAGGTGCCAATAATAAAAAGGCGTTTTGGGGTTTCCATGTTTCATTACCAAGAAACTTACACAGGTTCAGAAGTTTCCAGGCTTTTCTACCCTAATCTCATTCATCTTTATGATGTCTCTGCTAAAGGCAGTGGCCGACAAGGAAGGGAGCTCTTTTGTGCTGAAGCAAGGAGGAAGGGTAATGCATGGGACTGGTTGAAGTCCAGCCTGGGTACAGAGCAAGTTAAAATAGGAAAAAATCTCCACTTGGAAGGATGAAGCAGGATGATCCCCAAAAGTTCCAGGCCAGCTTGGGCTATATACTGAGTTGAAGACCAGCCCAAACTACATGAGGAGGCCCTATCTGAAAAAAAAAAAAATCTGTATCCTTAGTCCCTGCTTCCCTGGTTCTGGACCACAATCAGGCCTGCAGGCACAAGGAATTCAGAGCTCTGACTCTGCTAGCCCTGGAGAGAGTGGTTTATCCCCCTGTGCAATACTTGCTCACAGAGTGACTTTGAAAAGGAAACACAGGGACTGGGGATGTGGGTCAGCCATAGAACACTTGCCTAGCAAGCTGGAAGCCCTGGGTTTGGTCCTTGGCACCAAAAATGAAAAGGAAACATAGTTTACATGAGGGAAAGCCAGGCAAATTTTTCAGGTGACACATGTCTTCCTTCTTACTCCCTGATAGGAGCTGGCACAGGCATACTCCCTGGAGTCCAGTGACTCCTCCTGGTCTGAACTGTGTGTGGTTCAGGGCTGACACTGAGAGGACGGTCGTCAGATTGTGGTACATACCTGTCATCCCAGCATTTGGGAGGCTGAGGCAGGAAGACTGGCTCAAGTTTATGACAGCAAGGACTACATGAGAGTGTAGGGCCAGCCTGAACTACAAAGAGACCCTGTCTCAGAAAAACAATAAATTGGGCCAGGGAGATGGTGAAGTGGAATAAGTGCTTCCCTGGCAAGCTCAAGGACCTGAGATCAATTCCCGGTTCCGCAAAAAAAAAAAAAAAAAAAAGGAAAGAAAGAAAGAAAGAAAGAAAGAAAGAAAGAAAGAAAGAAAGAAAGAAAGAAAGAAAGAAAGAAAAACAATAAATTAAGGCATGGCTTGGCAGCAGCCATTTAAGTACTCTATAAAACTGTACTCAAGGGCTGGCCAAATAGCTCAGCAGATTAAAGTGCCTGCAAGCAGGCACGCAGGGACCTCCTTGGGCCTGGGGTTCAATCCTCCAGGCCTGCTGTGCCGGCCCTGCCCCCAGGGGCACACTGAGAGAGCAATTGAGACTCAGTAGACTGGGCATGGTGGTGTACACCTGTAATCCCAGCTCTTAGGAGACT